AAGGTTTGCGAGAGATATCTTGGTTTTCTTTTCATCATTTGGACAGGAATAATATTTTTTTACGGGTTTGTTTTTAATTTTTTTAACGGGAGAATGGGGCAACAGACGATGGGATTCCGCGCAGTTGGGAATGAAAGTAGGGCATTACTGGGTAATGACCCGCTCTCCATCAAGTTTCTGGATTCTGATTTGGTCGGGGTTTTTTTTTTAATGAATCAATGATGTCTCTGAGGTCTGTGACAACTTGACAAGGTTCATTTCTGTTTTATGAAAAAAAATCGGGGGGTTTTACTTTGAAACGTGTGTTTCTGAACTTGATGAGATCGCATATTGCATGAAATTGACGTATTTCATCGAATCGAGTATCGAGTGTGCTTTTCTGAAACAAGCAAGATGGATTTTTCTTTACTTTTCGGAGGCCAGATCGTTTGAGTTTTTCAAAGATTCGAATCCAAATTTAGGTTATGAAAAATCTTGTTGCCTGACCTGATGATGTGAAACTCATTGTGGACTGGATTTCCTTCCGAGTAGAAACTCTCATGACAAATTCTTGCGAATGGCGAATTTTTTTCTTCAGATTCGTGAAAAGAAAAAAAAACGCAATTAAAGGCAGATTTCTTTGCGATAAATTTAGTGTTATACCAAAGATTTTTCCATGTCCCAACAGCTGTGTTGTAACGAGATTTTTTCCTTCACATGTGCTGTACGGTATTTTGTTTACGAAATATACCACGGGGACGTTCAGTTTTTCTTTAAAAGAAAATTTTGCTACAGATCAATTTAAGAATTTTTTCTGGAGGAATGCTGATCATTGGATTACAAGCGACGACCATGAATATCCCGGAACCTAACCTACACGACCTATTGTTCAGGATTTAGGTACTCATCAAAGGTTTGAGCCCAGGTCATAACCCTTCGGATAGCGTGCTGAACAGTCCCAATTTCTTGAACATTCTTTTCTTATGAAAATTATCATCGAGTCAATGCCCTATTTCTTGATGAAAATCATATTTGGCAGTACTGAACTGAAGTGGAGAACCGCTGTGTAAATGGGTAATTTTTTTTTTTTTAGGCTCGAATTTAGCGCTTTGAACTTCGGGTTGAACTCTGCATCGGGGATAATCTATCAGGGCTTGTTTCATTTTTTTGTTGTTGACCTGATTGAAAATACAAGATTTGTTTTACCCGGGTTTTTGAGAAACCGGTTTTTTCTATCGTCACCTACCTCTGATTTTTCAACATTTGCGTTGTTCTTGATTCCAAATGTCTCAGTTCAAGTTTTGGAATGATCACGAACGCCCGTCCATTCTTCGTAGGTTTTGTGGGGATTTTTTTTTTCCATCTGAGAAAAGAGGAATTTCGTCGGAAAAAAAAAGCCTGCTTCATTTGAACGAATATAAGTCACGATTCTTTCGAACATCTATTCCGCAAAAAAGGAGTTTCCGTAATAAACAATTCTAATATTAGGAAATCACTGTGCGGAGTTTGACTTGGAGAAGTTCAGCTGTAATATACTTGAGTGAAAATTCTACAGGAGATCATATTATTCGCGCGGTTCATTCAACTCGTTAAAATCTAAGTTAGAACGTGTAAGTGAGCCTATATTTTTTTCTTTTTATCGAAGTGTATCGTGTTCGAATCTTTCAAATATTTTGTTACACTGGGAAGAACGAGTTTCTGGCATATTCTGAAAAGTGCCATGTTCTAAAATTTGGTCCGGACCCTTTTCTGCTGTGAAAGAGATTGAAAAGTTGAGGCTCTCCCTTTTTTTCAATCCTTTCTTTCAAAATTCTAAGTTTTTAAATTTTTTTCTCGAAAATATGGGAAGTACAGTACTGATGAAAAGGAAAATTTTTGTACTTTCTTATTGGTATATCAGAAGTTTTGTAGCTTTGAATGAGGCACTGTAATTGAAAAATGCAGGCTTTCAAAGTCTTTCGAGAGTTTTTGATTGTATGAAGCAGATACAGGTGGACTCCACGAACAATTTCAGGGTAGAAAAAATTCGTCCTAGAGAAAATTTTGTTGTTGTAAACCCTTATATGGGACCAGTAAAATTTGTGATACAGAGAAAATTCGAGAAAATATCTTTGTATAGGTAGTCTACTGTAATATATTTTCAAAGTAGAACTTGACAGAAATCATGTCCTCTTCCTGACAAAATTCTTCCGGGATTGAAGCTAGAAAAAAGTATAATGCTCATCTTGATCAAAATCCGTTCCCCTTTCGCACTGCGATTGATTTTTTCTTTCATACAATCTTGAATTATCATGCAACGAAAGTGATATATTTTTGACGCCCGCGTTATTTTAATTTCGATCGTTGAAGGAAAAATTCTTTCTTTGAACTGTTCGTCCTAGAGCCCTAAATTAATTATAAGCGAAGATAGGAACGCGCAGTCTTATAACCTTCCCGGAAGCTATGCCAGTTCTGAATCCAGAGATGGTCAGCTGGATGTACAAAAGCCCAGAAACACCATGTAATAACACCGTGATGTCTTCGACCACCATTTCCCCTTCGGAGGAGAGCGACTTCGAGTGAATCCCCGCGGGCCGCGTCACAAACTGCGTAATTTGAAGGTTCCTCGTTCCGGAGACCTTGATGGTTCAATGGCGTTTATTTCGCTGCGGGAAGTGCCCGACACGCAGGGTATTATCTTGTGTGTGTGTGTGTGGTTTTTTTCTATATTCTATGTATTGTACGGTGAGGGCACTTAGGAGTGGCCGTGAAGCCACGAGAGGGACCGCGAAGTAATGAGGGTGGGCTGTGTGTTTGTGTGTGAAGGTGATTGACTTCGTTTGCTGGATACTATACGCGCTTCTTGTTTGAAGGATAATTGAGTACGACCGTATCTGGGGCATGAGTACGTTTGGTATCGTATAGCCTCGAGATTTCCATTCACGTGTAGTGGATTATTCCGAGTGAAATCGAGTTCATATTCTGGTACATGAGGAGGAAACTAGGAGCGTTCTTAACAATTCGTAAATGCCACTGACGACTGCTTTATTTCCCCTCGGATTGACTGAATGAACCGGACATTTGGGAATCCGCTTGGATGTTAGGTCATTTTTTGAATGTTCACGTGATTTATGCATTTTTATGTCGGTATTATCCATGATTTTAGATCATCCGAGCGAAGGTTTCACTTCCAGTACATTTTAGTGAAGACTGCTGTATTTCCTCTTGAAGTGACTGAATTGCCCCGAGACGGGGGAATCCGCTTGGATATCAAGTCATTTTTGTTGAAGACAGTACAATATTCACCTGTTGAATACAATATTGTGTCAGTATTATCCGTGATTTTCGATTGTACGAGCGAAGGAACCCGGTCATAAAGTACGCATAATTGGAGCTCAGAACTTTCATACACGCTGGTGTGGGACGGAATTCGTGAATTTCCATCGTTCTCGAGTGAGATGCAGTAATTCCTCCCCATTGCATTGTTTACTTCGTCTTGCAAACATTAATTGTGAGAGGGTATCAGTACCCTAGTATTTTGTGCACCGTTCTAGATTTCAAGAGAGCAGTGTTAAGATGTCACGATTCTTTGAGAAGTACATCTGCTTTCAAGTAATAATCGATGACGCGAAGATTCGGTGGAAAGCAAGTGAAGATGGCGTTTTCAAGCATAATATTCGTTTCGTGAAGCCATGCTTTTGAAGTTCTTTCTTTTTGTTCCCTGTTCCCCGAATTCCCCCTCAATGGATATGTGATCTCCAACCTACCGCGTCGTAGTTCGTGCTTCACTAGGCAGATTTCAGCTGCGATGTGCGCCGTGCTTGGCGATTATTTAGAAATTTAGTGGATGTCGCGAGGTTCCGTCAACGTTGCCTCGACTGTCATTGAATTTTGCTTTCCTTATTCCTCGGTTCAAGTACAGTACATTAAAATCTATTGGTAGACGGAAGAAATGAACCCAACAAAACTCGTGTTGAAAAGGGTTTCTATGCTTGAGAAACAATTCTGATGCTTGAAAATTGTAAGCTTTTTTGGAACATCCACCCTTAAAAATCTGTTGAGGAATTGCTTTGAAAACCTTACTCACCAGCCTTACTCACCTTACTCAGGTGCTTGTGTACACCTGTTATTCAGATTAATTGCTTGTTATAAACGTATACATTTCTTTTTGAAAATATCAGTTTTTTAAATGCTGAGAAGTATCTGAAAAAGTCACAAAAGGAATATGTTGAAAGTACGCCAAGTTTCATTTTCAGAAAATCTTCCCATCAGGCAAAAATTTTTGAATATCTTGATGTAACAAATAATGCATTACTGTATACTGTATCAAACTTTATTTGAAGTCCCCACAAGTTTGTTGTAACAAAATGTTACTGTAGTTATTTATTCAGTTGTATGTAATTTCATTGCCCTGAAAGACAAGGTGGAGTAAGCAGACGAAGTAATTTCTGTTATGCGCAATTTTTCCGTGGGAAGCAGATTAACCACCAGCAAGATATTAGAAAAAAATTTTGAAGCTCACTCTCTTCCAGTTTTCGAAACATGTATCAATATGAATAATAGTGTATATTTGTATCATGTGAGGACTACACACATGATATATTTTTGTTAAACTGATACACTACAGTTGAATCTTCAAAATTCGCCCTGAGAACCGTAGGCCTTCTTTGGATTACTGTCTAGAAAATGACAAATATTTTATAAAATTGGCCTGAGATAAAATCAGCGGAATTTCAATCATTCTCGGAGACCGATGTCTTTCCGAGGTGTGTGAAAGTAATAGAATCGTAATGTCCAAAAAGACACATAATTTTAAAATTTATTAAGTAATGAGACTGGCGACTCATGCTTCCAGGATGCTTCTGTAACGAAAAGAAAATGCCCCGGTTCATCATCGAAGCACAGATACGTTGAGATTTCAGTTCTACTGCAGTATATTATTGTTGAAATGATAAAATGGACCCAGTGTAATCTTTTCGACGTGACCTGGTTTTCAGGCATCAAGCTAAACCCTAGTTACATAAAAATTTGGCTGATGCCTTTGTTTTTCTAGGATTATTCAAATCCTTAATCCTGACGATCGTTAATCTGTTTCGCGAGTGTGCGCCGCGACTTTTCGAGGGGACGTGACTTTCAACCGCAGTATTTTTCTTTGATTTCGATTGACCAGAAAATCAGGGTACGTCTTATGGATATAGAGAGTGTCCCAATCCGGACATTGTCCGGATTTCAAGGCAGATATTTTTGAGCTCCAAATGTCTTGAAGTCGAATCATCTGTGGGGTCTTGGTTTAAAAACTTGAACCTTTCCTGAGCGAAGTTTTTAAAATTAAATTACGTTTCCCCTTGAGAAAGTACTGGAATAATTTCAATTGGTTCCAAAACGTTGAAAGTGCTCATGAAAATCAAGAAAAGTAATTGTCTGAAAATGTTTACTGATTCAAAAATTCAAGAACTTTTCTTGATAAAATGTTAGAGAAGCGCACTGATGGGCCATAGCCTTTTGAAAATTTTAGATTTGAAAGTTTTCCCAGTCATCTTGGTCATCTAAAAATTCTGACACATTTAAAAATGTTGAAAAATCTGGTTTTTGGTGTATGTTTGTTTATGAGGATGCGTTCGGAGACGGCTGAAGAGGAACCACACAATAAATTTTAATTTTGAAAATTGAGGTGGGTGCATGTTCACCTAAATGTTTGGTATGGTGTAAGTTTCTGGCTTACATGGAACATTTTTAAACCATCAGGAATTTGAAATGAAAAGCATATTCTTACCTGTATAATGCAGAATATCAGAATGAAACAATTTTGATGAATGCATTAACAAGAAAAATATTTTGACCCATTCACGTATAGTCAGGGTTTCTTAGGTGAGGCCCAAACCCAAAGTCTGTTGACCAAAAAGGTTTCAAGCCATGGCGTTCGTTAACCATCAAGACCCCACTCTATGGGGATCCTGGCTGTAACTTTCATCATCTCCTTGCAGATTTTGAGAACGAAAAAAAAAAAAACCGTTTAGTGTTGAATCGGAGACGGCGAACTTTTGAGACCATGTCTGTGTCCGTGCGGATCCAGAACCTGTTCCCGACCATGAACTCTCTCAGCGACACCATGACGTCGCTCCTCAACAACGTCTGGTCCGTGCCTCAACTCTGGTCCGGAATGTACAAATACGTGCCGAATCTCCACTCACTCATGCGATTATTTCCCCGTGAACCCGGGCCGCTGGAGATTCGTCGCTACCTGTACTTTGCCGACGGAGAAAGTACGTTTCAGTACGATGACGGGTTGCCTGCGTTGCCGGTGCCTGATTTGCGTCACACGCTGGACGTTTATCTCGAGTCTTGCAAGCCGTACTTGACGGAGGAGGAGCTGGAGCAACTGGGTGCAGTGCTGAAGGAATTCGAGGCCGGCATGGGAACCAAGTTGCACGCCAAATTGCTGGAGAAGGCCGCGAAAGAGAAGAACTGGGTTAGTGCACTACTGTACTGTATATCGTATGATACAGTACTACGTTACTCGCAAAATGGTCGCGTTTCTGTCGTGCTCTAAGGGGGGCTTGATCCGTTTTGGGTACTGTATATGAAGGACAGTTGGGTTTCAGTTCGATGCGTCAGAAATTCATGTACTGTACATTAAAATTTTTATTCAGTGGTAACATTTGTTCTGGCTAATTTTGTGGCACTGTGCTATAACTTGTATGAAAAGAATGTTCAGTTTAGGGATTCTACTGCAGCGAAAATTAACTTCTCTACAGAATGATTAGGCCACTGTGTTTGTCTTATAAGGGAGGAATCAACAAGAAATTGATATGATGTTCGATTTTACTGTTCTATAATCTATCTCAAGATACAGTGAGACCCCGAGATGCGGACGTAATTGGTGCATCAAGAGTGTCCCCAAGGCAAAATGTCCCTAAGTTGAGTCTTGTTTTCCCATAGACTTACATTATATAATTTTTAATTGGTGTTTTGTAAAAGAATTATTCTTCAGAATTCCCTGAAAAAAATTGTTTGCCACTTGAATTTGAATTAGTGAATACATTNTGAAAAAAATTGTTTCCCACTTGAATTTGAATTAGTGAATACATTTTCAACTCATTAAGAACATTTGGAGCATTGAATAGTGTATATCTGTACTGTACACTGAAATTTTGGCATCTACAAAAATAACATTCAAGTGGAAAAAAGTTGAAGTCCCTCTATGCCAGAGGTAATTTTTTTAAATTAGCTAAATAGATGGTAATTTGGTGAGAGAAATGTCCAAGAACTTTTCTTACATCAATTTTATGGCTGGAAATATCTGTTGTAATTTGGCCTGAAATGTATTTGCAATTTTATCACAAAATGTCCCTATGTTGAGTCAGTGTCCTCATGTCGGGCTTATCTATTGATTTTCTGTGGGAAAATAAGTGTCCCTATGTCAAATTGTCCGCAGGTTGAGGCATCCGCATGTGGGGGTCTCACTTCATATATAATGAGAAAAAACGGTTTGACATACATTTGTACCTCTCTTTGAGTTTGGGAGGGTTTTTAGCACATTGCTGTAAAGCCCTTTTCTGCATCGGGGATTCGTGGAAATTTTTTATTTTATATTTTACGTGCCGTCACTGGGGGGATTCACGGCATTTGAGTGATTCGAAAAATCCCCTTCTATTCGCATGTCCGATTTTCTCAGCTGGAGAAATGGTGGGAAGAAGAGGTGTATCTCAAGCTCCGACTTCCTTTGATACCGTATCTTTACATGTGCGCTGAAGGGCCTCGTCCGAAAGAGCTGACGGTGAGTTGAAGCGAGCAATTTCTCAAGACATCGTATTTTTTTCGAGAAATGTGGAAAAAATATTTGCCGGAGTGGAATTTATTGACCTGGTTCTCTCTCTCTCTCTTCCTATTTTTTTTTTTTTTTCAAAACTCATACTTCATTCTGTCACGGGGGTGCTGCTTCGTGGAATGGATCAATATCGATTCTCCTCGGTTCGATGGAGCAGGAAGATTTTGATTTTGCGGTGAGTTACTCTTCCGTGTGCGAGTTTTGCGTCTTCCTTGGAACTAGGAAGGATAGTATGTGTGTTTCCCAGATTACGTAAGATCATGCTATTTTTTTTTTTTTGGCGTGAATGATTCTGCAACTCTTGTCTCTCAGACTGCCTTTTCGGACGCTCAACTCCGTGCCACGATCTTTGAAAATAGAATGCATTGCAATTTTTTACGTCTTTCTATCCAGGTCATCTTATGTCATAATGACATGCGTCTTTCAAAAGCCTGGCATTGTTACGAGTTCAAGGTAGACGATACGGTTGATGCTTTGTTTACCTCAACAATGCGATTGAGTTTGCTTCGAAAAGTTTTATGAAAATTTATTTTGTCATATACTGCTGTACGCATGTCTTAAATCAGATGTTTTACTTTCCAATGCATAGATATCGCCCGATTTTTATCCATTTACATTATGATTAATTTAGGTCAAGTTCAATTGTTTATCGTTGAAGGCGACAGTTGTGTAACATTAAAAAATTCTAAGAAGTTGAGCAGAAGAAGCCTATGCTATTCAATTACACCCCACGATTGACAGGCTATAAACTAGTACTGTACTAAAAAAAGGCGCTTCAGCTTACTAACGTGCTATTTTACAAATTTGATCATCTAAATGCACAGCATGAAGACGTGTATTTTTCTATAATTTTCTTCCAGTCTTTATATCCGTTGGTTCTTAAATTTGCGATTCAACCGAATGATCTTTTGCGCCCTGTTCAGGTGATGTAAGTTGTAATGGACAAGTACTTATACTGTGAGAATGGTGACGTTTTTCAGCAATACAATGTGTTCATAGTTTCCGAAACACATTTCAATAGATTTTTGAGATTGAAGGAAGTTGGCTTCAACTTTTAAAATTTGAAATTCAAATTAGTGTTCGCCGATTGAACCAACAGGGCTATATGCAAACCAGCCGTGGCGTATGAAAAATCACGAGCAATGTCTCAGAAAAAGAAACGCGAATACATGAGAAGCTGAATCGAACTCACTCAAATGTTTTTGCATATAATTTTAATCCCAAATTGCTGAGAATGTTACATAAAAAATTTTGATCCATGATTTTTTTTAAATGCCGCGAAAATATTCAAAGTTATTGGTTCTGTTACTGTACCGAGCTTATTTTACGTCTAGGGCTGAAAGGAAATCTAGAAATTGTACTAGGTCTCAGTTTTTTGAAGATCTGAATTATATTTTTGTTGGAGGGGAATTTCTATGTTGAAAAATTTTTTTTTACTTTTTTTTCAGCCGTTGGCGATCTGTCTGCACTACACCGTGAAGTTCTGGTTCTTGATGAGGCAGGGGAAAATCAAGCCACAAAAGCAGATGCGGAAAGATATGAACGATAAAATGGCGAAGCCGTTTTCCATGCACCAATTCCGCCGGTTCTTCAACACTGCCCGTGTGCCGAAAAAGGGCAAAGACGAAATCCAATGCTACTTCGCCACTGGTGAGTTGAGAGCGATCGATGATCGAAACATTTCTTTTTTTCTTCTTCTTCGCTGCTGCTGCTGATGATGATGGGAATCAAATTGATCAACGATGACGAGCAGAAAATGGGAGTGGGAAACGAGTTCGGAATTTTTTTCCGAAAGATTTTTATGTCCAGGACTTCGGTGAAGCTTTGTAACATGTTGACCTTGAATTGCGAGGATTTATACAAAAAGTTTTGGATTTTTCCTTGACCGCACAACCGTATTTTCCGAATATGTTCCTAGAGCTTCTTGGAATTTATTTTCAGTCCGCAGACCCGAAAAGCATGAAAATTACGACGATAAGACAATAAAATTGTATAGAAATGTTCGCTTCAAATAATTGCGACGGCGGTTTTGTTGCAGAAAAAGGTAATGTAACGAACGAAGAATTGAAGTTGAGGCTGGAAATGTCAACCAAAGGAAATCAGTGAAGTACTGTACAGATATTTATTGAAGCAAGATCATGAAAGGAAAAATTTTAAATGATTTCGAGCTAGGGTTGCTTTTGTATGTGTCAAAAGTCGAGACTTGCTTTGAATTAGCTAATCCCCCTAGGGCTGTATTACAACAACAACAAAAAAGAACTCAAAGGTAATTTCGCTTCCGTCATTGTTTCTCGTCGTCATTTTTTCTTCGCGGCATTGTCTCCTGACTCAAAAATAACAACAGGTTTTCGGGGCTGGGAATTTTTTAATCAACAAAGGGACGTGGCTGCTGATTCGACGATTCCCTCATGGGACTATTCTCAAGTTTAAATTGCTGAAAATATTGTTTGATGCTTGTGTTGAAGCTTTCTCGATGAAAATTGTGGCTGAGTGGTTTCTTTATTTTTAGAAGAATTTTTCCTTTCAATTTCCACGTGTGGAGTTTTTTATACTGTACAACCAAATGATGAACCTGAACACGCCGGAAAAGATTAAGTAACTTTTTGCACAGGGATAACTCACATGCTAAAATATTTTATGAAATTTTTCTTTCTTACTTTTACAAATGAAAGTTTTACTTAATTTTTACTTTGTCTTAAAAGAGTCATTGGAAGAAATGGCACTCCATTCCATGAAATCTGTGAATTTTTCTTCTGAAAAATGTTTTTGTTCGGTTTAAAGAATTAGAAGGAGTAAGGGTCTTGTTATAAATATGGAAATTAATTGAAAAAGAGTTGAATTGTGACATTTGGTGATTTATCGTTGTGCAAGTTATCACGTAACCCTCCCGGGAAAAGTTCAGATTCATTTAATGATTTATATGCCTTGTTCTTTCTTCCTCTTGATAACATCGCACTATAACTTGGCCTCCTAAGTTTTTTTTTTCTTCAATTCTGAAAGCGAGTTGACGAACTTGCATTGAAGATTTTTTCTTTAATTGTACAGAGCTGATGAATGAGCAGCATAAAAAATTTACAATTCATTAGTGTTAGTTTTTTCGGCATTGGTGTCGGATTATTGATTCAAAAGTCATGTTCCTGAAAATTTGAAGGTTTATTATGAAAACGACGTTTGATATGCAGTATCAATAAATTTAATTTTTTTCATGCAGTATCAATAAATTTAATTTTTTTCATGCAGCATCAATAAATTTAATTTTTTCATGCAGTATCAATAAATTTAATTTTTTTCATGCAGTATAAATAAATTTGATTTTTTTCATGCAGTATCAGTAAATGCAATTTTTTCATGTACTGTATTTTTTTTTTTTCGGAAACCTGAGAACTTTTCGAAAATCCCTCGCATGAGTACCAAGTGATTTGAAACTGCGCATTTCCGTGCAGATGCCCGATAAATGGCTTTGTAACCTTCTCACGTAATATCCCCTTGTATTGTATTAGATTTCCTCCCTTGTCGTGACCTTGGTAGAAGAGAATGTCAAATCGCCCGGGATCCGAAGGCCTATTAGACTTTCTATCCCTCGTCTCTTATTTATAGATGCGTGAGGAGTCCCACAATCGCACATAGAATATTGTTGGAAATTTTGAAGAAGGAAATGCGGAACTGTCTCTTATTCTACCCTGGTATAAGCGGATCGGATTTTTGATTTGAAGTATATTGATCAAATGTGACTGAAGACGGACCTTCGGTGGAAGTTTTCTTCGGAAACCATATTCATCTCCCGAATAATCTCACTTCTACAGCTTCCCCGAGTATTTGTTCGCCTGAATGTAAAGCCGTCTGTGTAAAAGGCATTCAAGTGTAGTACCGACAATGTTTACGCTTGTATTACTAATACTTATATGAAGAACTCATTTTTTGGTTCTGATTTTGTTCTGAACGTGTTGAGGTTGAGACGGAAATGGTTGAATAACGAAGAATGTCTGATGTTCGCACTACAAGTTAAAGAATGAATTATTAATTTTTATCGTTTGATCTGTGGATTAAAAAGATAAAGATTTAAAATATCTCCATGCTTTTCAGCTAGAAAATATGCATTATTTCATTTCCCAGTAGGATGAGATTTGGTCCAATCAAAGAAATATGAAGAAGTTTTCGAATAGGAAAAATATGCTGATTACGTCATTTTTACGCGAGGAAACGGACAGCAGAGGACAATGAAGAGACACTTATGACGTGTTGAACGCATTTGACACCATGAACGAACAAAGCCTTTTGCAATATGACCTGAACGGACGGATTAAATCCCGACAGTTGGCAGAACAATGTTGCAAACGTTATGAAATATGTCATCAATTTTCTTGGGTTTGTGCATTTCACATCATGACCGCGGTTCTCTGTCCATATCTTCGTGGAACACGTGCAAGGGGCCAAAATAAGTTCGAGAAACTTTCGGACTTTATCATTCGTCCTTTTTGGAGGTATCGCGATTTTTAGAGGCAATTTTTACCTCTCCCCGAACATCACGGTCTCAAAGAGCAAATTATATTTGGAATAGTGAGACCCCGAGATGCGGACGTAATTGGTGCATCTGGAGTGTCCCTAAGTCAAGTCTGAGTTTCCCTTAGACTTGCACTATTTAATTTTCAATTGGTGTTTTATGTGCAAAATACTCACCATAATTCCATGAAAATGAAAATTGTCTCCCAATTTAAACTGGTTCAATCAATATATTTCAACACAATATGGACATTGGGGGAATTGAATACTGATACCTCAGTACAGTACATAGAAATGTTGGCATTATCTGTAAAAATAGCATTGGAATGAAAAAGAGAGAAGGAAGTCCCTCTATGCTAAAAGTAATTTTTTTTATTGGCTAAATGGATGGTAAATTTGTGAGAGAAATGCCCAAGAACTTTTCTTACATCAATTTTAGGATTGGAAATATCTGTTTCTTGTAATTTGGCCTGAAATGTATTTGCAATTTCATCACAAAATGTCCCTATGTCAAGTCTGTGTCCTCATGTTGGGCCTTTTTTATCAATTTTCTATGGGTAAATAAGTGTCCCTGTGTTTAATTGTCCGCAGGTTGAGGTGTCCGCATGTGGGGGTCTCACTATATTCAACAAGAGAATTGAGTCTTTTTTTGTTGTCACCACCAGCAGTGACATCTACCCGATGTAAGAATCTTCATTCTATCTTTCAATGGACCATGATGTGAAGATTATTGCGCGGATGAGGAGTACTGTAGTTGAGCTTCTTCAATTGTGAATGTGAAACCTTGGCTTCCTGCTGGTCTACGAATCATACCTTCCCCTAGATGTTCCGTAATTTCCCAATACTTGGTTTGATAGCTTGTTTTAAATCGTGAATATGTTTTCGTTGACAGAGGAGGAAGACCCGAATAACGAAGTGCCGACAAACATGATCGTCTTGTACCGCGGCTACTTGTATTCCGTGCAAGTCGCCGACTTGGACGCCGGGGAAATCATGACTCCGCACGACATGGAAGCCGCCATGAACTGGATCATTGCCGACGCCCGTGGACGCCTGCCGACGATCGGGCCGAGCGTGGCGGCGCTGACGTGCGACGAACGTGACGCCTGGGCGGAGAACCGCGAGCGTCTCAGGGCCCTGAGTCCCGCCAATGCCGCCATTTTGCACGAGATCGAATCGAGTCTGTTTGGCTGGAGTTTGCAGGAAGACAAGCCGGAAACGGAGTCGGACGTGCTCAAGAAGCTCATTTGCGACGGGATTCGGGATCGTTGGGCCGACAAGTCGTTCACCTGTATGCTGTTCAAGAACGGCTGCACTGGGAATTCCTCTGACGTGAGAAAAAGAAAAAAAGTTCACTCTGTTTCTGTGCTGAGTTGGGCAGAAAGAGGGATGAAATTGCGGAGGAATTATTTGCGGTACCGATTAGAATGAATCATTTTTGACCTAAACGTATTCTACGCTAGAATCCTCCGAAGAATCGTGTGTTTAGTAAAAAGGACGTTTAAAATACAGTACTGTACTTTTCTCGGAGAGAGTGCAAAAATAAGTGAGATTTTTCATGCACAAAATTGAAATTCCATGAATAGGTAAATATATGACCTTTCACTTTATTTCCTGGTGTTCTGATTTCCTGGAAGCTAAAATTTTTAAATAAATGTAGGTTTTTCTCCAGAAAATGAGAAATGGTGCCGACGCAACCCTTACTTTTTCCCCTTCAGTTAATGACTCATGCATTGTGAAGTGCGAAAAGCTGATTATTTCTAGATTCTTTGACATTTGAATTCCAAAAGATCTAAAGAAAAGAAGTGCTCGATTGCATTGTGAGACGCAAATGAGAATATTTCCTGATATACACACATACTTGAGAAAATCGCTTAAATACTGCGTATAGTATTCAATAAAACTAGAAAAATGCCTGACATAATTGTCACCTTGTAAAATTGTCGCAAAGAAAACTTCCCAG